TAGCTGAAAGATTATGAAACTGATCGGGGTAAATGTGAATTAGAAATATGTCTTTTACTTTATAACTTTGTTACCTACTTTTATTATTTTCAACCTTGTCAGTCTTTCAATGTCAGTTATTATGATGTTCTGTATAATAATCTTTTGGGTTTATTGAAGCCTGCATTCAATGGTTTAATAAAACAATTAGCAATCATTAAATTTGTCAGAACATAGTTTAGACACAACCTTCCCTCGTTGATCTTCTCCTTCACAAAGTGATCACGCATTTCAATATGCTTTGGACGAGCCTGGTATGCCCCTTCTAATGTCAATTTTTGTGCCCTTTGATTGTCTACATACAACAAAGTTGGCTTTAAGTTCGAAGTACGGCACAAGACAAGGAGACATGGAATGACAAATGGCTGAGAAAGAAGATATATTTCACATAAAAATTCTGATGGTAAATTGCCTTTGACGCCCATACTAGACTACTACACAATTTTTAAGTTTATTTGTGGCCGTTTGCACCGACCATTTTAAGGAAGCCTTAGCGTTAAGTATTCCTTAAAGTGACATTTCTCCACGTAAAAATGTCATTTTAAGGTATACTTTTCGCTAAGGCTTCCTTAAAATGAACGGTGCAAACGGCCATTGAACTTCCTAAGTTCACATGAAGGGGCTTTTTCCAAAATTCACCGGTTTCTGTACCGGTTTAATAGTTTTCCCACCAAATCGTTCCAAAATATACCTATTTTTACCGGTTGAACCAGATCGTCTGTTCCAAAATTGACCAGAATGATCAGCTGTTTGAAACCAGAGAGGCACCGGGAATTTTTGTCGGTGTCGTTGATTTTTCTCCAACTGTTGATCGGCTGACCATTATTAACAGCTTTAGCAATTCCTGCTGCTCCTCCACCTAAAGTACCCAGCGCACTCAGACCAGCAATTATTGGTATCAATGGTGGAATGCCACCAGTTTTAGGTACTCTAATTATTCGAGCTGGAAAAGTTTGACTTTTTAAAATGTCTGTTAAATGATATAAATGGCACACCCGGCGTTTGTTGTAACCTAATTAGCGTTGAACTCTGGGACACAATAAACATCATTTACCTACCTTAATATCAGAACTTTATTTGTAATATCGACATCACCATTTGTATCTGTGCTCATTTCTTGATTATCAACAGTGGCAATTATCTAATTGGTGGATTTTCCTTCAGATTTTTTTACATGACGATTGGATGTAATATGTGCAGAACATCCTGAATCCAAGTACCATACATTATCTTTTTTTTTTTCAACTGAAAAAGCAGAATGAAATAAGAATCATCTCTACCTTTCTATTTATCCAGAATTCTTTTGCTTTCATCGCATTCATTGGCATATTTTTTCTTCTTAGACGACTTCCACCATATCCAAACATTGCCATTGTATTTTGGTCAGAGTCTCTGATCACAGAAATATCCAGACGCAACATTGTTTTGATGGAATCACCAGTGAAGGATTACCTGAATTTTCAATACCCATTATCATTAACCGAATGTAGTTCATCCAAGGACGAACCATAATTTGTCTTTTAACGTCATGAGTTTGAACACTGGCTAGAATATTGGAAGCTGAGTCCATGCTTCCGGTAAACTATGTTCAATATGACGTCATGAGTTTCTCGCGGAAGCGTTTGTGTTCATGAAATCATGGGAGTAGTTCGTCGCGAAAATTCGATTATTGGTTTATAAGTGTCGAGTAAACCTGCTAACAAAATGGTGCCCACCCATTCGTCATTGATAGCTAGACCAACTTCTGAAAATTTGTTTGCCGTTGTTATGACGGTATTAACGGAAACTCTATTTTCCAATGTTGTGGTAACCCATTATCGTCCTACTCTCCGCGTCAATTCGGAGTCTTCAAATCCGGTTTTAAGGTTGTCCGAGGCCTGTTTTGTCATTTTGGTTGATTGGAAATGTATAGAGTCAATTGAAACAAGGTAAAAATAAATTGCAACTGAACTGGTGGCTGACTAGTGGCAGTGCATTTCTTATGAAAGTATTCATTCACCAGTTGTGATTTACCTTCACCTTGTTTCAACTGACTTTAAAAAGACTATACCAATGAAATAGGTTTCGGCCGTGCTTTTGTCACTTTTTTGGCACCTGCTTCTGTACCTTCTATTGCGCTACACAGTTCTTCCAATTCAAAATTCAAAGTACCTATGCTTGTACAGCGAACTTCCATTGCTCATAATTTTCTCGCCTTTTCAATTTCTCAAAGGACGGTATCTGATAAGCAGACATCTTGAGTTGGCAAGCAAACATGTTTTTTTTTTTTAAATCGTCTTTTGCAGTGGTTAACAATTTGTGCCCATAACCTGTTGTAAATGAACAAGCCCCCAATATTTTAGGTAACGCCAATTATGGACATAAAATCAATTAAAAATTACTGGTATATGAATTGTTTTATCTTAAATAAAGTTACCTTACAAGATAATATATTATAAGGTAACCAGAAACATCGTGCGTCAAACGATAACACGCCTTTTTTAATACGTGCCTCAACCTACTAAAAATAGCGATCCCAGCGATAGCGATCTTAACGGTTTTGTGAGTTTTCCACGGATCTAAACACGAGTAAACGTTGCGTTATTGCGGAAAAACATAAAAGAGGGAGAATTTATCATTTCGCCTTTAAATGGAAATTTTTGATTCAAAAAATTGCATAGTTAAAACTTCTTTTTTTCTTATTTGCTTCTCTTACGCCCAAAGGAATTGGAGCCTCATAGAAACGGGCCACCTTTTTACTCCCACAAGATCGGATTTATTTTTAACGTATACCGTTTTGGATTTTCCGTATATAAGGATAAAGAACAAAGAGCCCGTAATAAGATTTCGCCCTTAGGTGACTAGCTGCCGCCCTACGCTTTTCTATTATACATAAGATACATTTTGCTAGAGACTATGAAAATTATGAATGGAGTGGTATTTGGTTTCCCTTGAAATAACACCTAACAATAAACCTTCAATATTAGCAAACTGGTAATTAATCCGACATAATGCCAATGCAATACATGTTTATATTCGTAGGGTTTAATTAACATTACATGCGATCCAGGAGATAGATCACATTAATTGCACATTATGCACGTAATCTGGTAAAGTTTAAACGATGATTGGTGTATGGGTTATATTCTAGGTTATAATGAAAACTTACTCTACACATCATTATGTAGTATATAAGTGAATATTATTTTTATATTATTCATTGGTAACAAAAACATTTATTGATATAACTGTCTCCATATCTATCTAGAGGCCATCAAATCTCTTCAACTTCCTTCATCTTTATTTCAATTTGGAAACAGATATGTCCATTATTTTTGTGATAAATTTTCGGTTTCCTATTAGAATGTTTGCACTAGGTATTTTCATTGTATACTTGCGTTTTTCAGAAGCCCTAGACCAGTTTTGTATGGTTTTAAGAATAATCCTATACCCATGACAATGGATTCCACCGTTTGATTATGGCGCTGATGTTTCTTCAACTGACTGGCTGACCATCATTAACAGCTTTAGCAGTTCCTGCAGCTCCTCCACTTGACTCACCCAACGCACTAAGACCAGCAACTATTGGTATAAATGGTAGAATGCCACAAGTTCAAGGAACTTTTTTTGTTTCTGTTCATTGAGAATGTATATGAGTGGTTTTTGATCAGCAACAATCTCTAATCCGCTGATGTTTCTTCAACTGATTGGTTGACCATCATTAACAGCTTTAGCAGTTCCTGCAGCTCCTCCACTTGACGCACCCAACGCACTAAGAGCAGCAACTATTGGTATTAATGGTAGAATGCCACCAGTTTACGGAACTTTTTCTGTTTCTGTTCATTGAGAATGTATCTGAGTGGTTTTTGATAAGCAACAATCTCTAATCCGCTGATGTTTCTTCAACTGATTGGTTGACCATCATTAACAGCTTTAGCAGTTCCTGCAGCTCCTCTACTTGACGCACCCAACGCACTAAGAGCAGCAACTATTGGTATTAATGGTAGAATGCCACCAGTTTAAGGAACATTTTCTATTTCTGTTCATTGAGGATGTATATGAGTGGTTTTTGATCAGCAACAATCTCTAATCCAAGAAAGCACATTCTGCATGTATCTACTGCCCATGTAATTCCTAAGATTTCTATTTCTACCATAGCATACCTGTTAGTTTCCGTTTATGAAAGAAATCTTGACCCACATTGAATAAATTCCATGTCTTCTCCATGTTGCTGCATCAACAAATAAACCAAACCATTAACTTTGATGCATCAGAGTGAATCATAGTTGCTTTGGAATACCAAAAGTTGTGAGAATTCGTTGTCCTCTTAAGTAATTTCTAATATGTTCGAATGCGTTTTGATGTTCATTTGGCCATAAGAAATTGTGTCTTGTTTAAGGCAGACTTCTAAGAGGAGTAGCTTCACCACTTATTCGTAAAGAAAAATTACTCAGTTGATTTACTAGTCCCATGAACAACCATGAATTGATTGTTGAGTATTCTCGGCTAGAGCTTTAACTGCATCACAAGTGATCAATGAGTTTCAATATGCGGTTTACGTCTTCTTCGTCTCCCACATTATTTTCCCACACGCTTCATTTCTCTTGCTCTAGGCATTTTGCTTACTATAACTAAAACTTAAATCGACATTACTGTCACCACCTATTTAAATACAGGTCTTCACAATCATTAAGAATTTAAATTAAATCAACTTACAATTTCCAAGTAGAGGTTAAGTTTGCGTCTATTTTAGAATCGCAAAGTCAACGTTGTCGTTTCACTTAAAATTAACCACGCAGCGTGCTAATAAGAAGAAACGTTTTTAAGAGGCTTGTTCACTCTCTCACTGTCTCTGTAGAGGTTTTTCAAGTGCCTCACTTGAGAATTTAATAGCGAACCCGAGTTTTTGTTGCTACAAAGCAACGCTAAATAAAACTTCGCAATCTTGTTCACCTTAAATTATTAATTATTATTGTTTTCAGGTGTCCTGTGTAATATCGACCGGCTCGAGCTTCTAATGCCCCGCTACGCCCTGAAAGGAGGCGACGTGTTCCTCAAGTGCGACCACAGCGTCCGGCTCGAGCATCTACACAAAGTCGAGTGGAAAAAGGGAGATGACAAATTGTTCATGTACGTGAAAGGCAGGACGCCACCGTTCAAGGCTTGGGAAATACCTGGAGCGAAATTAAATGTAAGTATTTAAAGTGAGAGATTATTTATTTTTTTCAATCAGTGCAGGTTACATGCTTCAACCTTCCATAAGTATTTAAGAAAAAAAAAACTACGTTTTATTTCGCAGGAACTTTAACTTACACAACTTGGAATTCATTGATTCAAATACAAACAAATATCCAGACATAATTACTGCAAAGGCCTTTTCTGGACTGGGGGTCCCTAGAGAAACGTCCGTTAGCATTAAGGCCTGAAATAGGCACTAAACCTAGCCCAAAACTAACTCCCTTGGTTTAATTATTTTGAACGGTCCTATCTATGGTAATGGACCGCTGAGAGAGGAAACGTAATGGAGCACGAACATTGACATGGAAATGTGATTGAAATTTGTGAGACCTTTTCAGCTGGCTACGTTTTCGTTTGAGGGTTTGTGTTTATGTCTAAGTTTAGAGCCCTAAAAATGCCTCCTCTGTTAAGGATTTGCGACCTATGGTCGTTGGCAAATTTCTGTCATAAATATAGAGTACTTCAAATAGTTCTGGATGGAATAAAGTTATGTTGTGTTCTTTTTGGAATACTGGCAAAAAATTACACTCTAGTGTTATTTGGAATGTAATTCATTCACTCGATTTTGGAATAATATTGCTCCGTTATCATCTTGAATTACCACACAAAGCTCTATATGAAGTGAAAGGACATTTATAATATCCTTCTTTCTGGACATCATTAGTATCATTGGCTTTTATCGTGATAAGTTTATATGGTCCAAAAAGTTTTCATTACAGTTTGTTTCCAGGACAAATCTATGTTCTTGTTATTGCGACTAAGTCACATTGATATTCTTGATATTCTTTTTCCTACATTACACGATTGTTTATGTCGTCAGATAAAGGGGGGTATCTGAAGTTGTGGCCTGTCAGCATGGCAGTAGATCTTGGGGGCGGCTATCGATTGAATATAGCCTAGACTGCATGACCAAATTCTGCTCTGCCGGTGCACGTTTCCCCATGTTGATTCAGCTAAAGAGAGCGAGAGAGAGAGCGCAACCTGCATTGAATTCTATCCTATGTACAGTTTTTGAATAATCATACAGTTTCCTATGTACTACTAAAATTATATTAAACCTAAAAAACACAACTCAACCAACATGCAACTCGATGACACGACCAAGCCGCCAATTTAGGGGAGGTGAATTGTCCTCTCGCACTATAACTAAGTCACCAATTTTAATATTTGCCTATGGAGTCTTCCACTTGAACCGCTGTTGAAGAAGAATAACATATTCATTTGACCAGCGTGTCCAAAATTGTTGGTAGAGCTAGTAGAGTGCTTTCACAGCTATCAGACCACATACCCACCTCTACCATGTAAAACCCCCCTCCAGCACAGCCATCATACCACTGTAAACCCCCTTCCCTGAAGTTCCTGAAATCCCCCCACTATGAGCCCCACCAAAGAAATTATTTTACTGCCCCTCCAGCACAGCCATCATACCACTACCCACCACTGTAAACCCCCTTCCCTGAAGCTCCTGAAATCCCCCCACTATGAGCCCCACCAAAGAAATTATTTTACTGTTATATACCTCACACTCTTAAGAATCTCCAGTTTATTACCGTTTACAACACAATTTCAAGTAACATTAAGTTCATACAAAAGTGAGTTCAGTTGTTAGTTTAGTGATAACAAAAACAAATGTTGCCTCCAGCATTAGTGCTACAAGTTTCGGAGCTCCAAATTAGGTTTCTCAATCACCTAAATGAACTTTTGGAGTCTCCAAGTTTATCAGTTTATGAATCGGATTTTATTATTTTAATCGAGGAAGTGATTGAATTGTGTCAACATTTGCTGCAAAATAAAATTAGTAAGAAACATTTTTGCGATCATTTGGAAATAACACATATGGGTTTGGAGTCAAATTTATTCGCAAGACGTATAGAAAATATGATATTTGAAGAATAGATAAGAATTTATATTTAAGCAAATCAAGATTTTTTTTAATAATGTTCCACTGCAGTGATTGTAGTAAAACTTTCACTCAAAAATGTAGTCTTAGCCGACATAAGAGAGAATCCTGTCAATATCGTCCATCTTGCTCCACTAATCATTTCAGTCAAACTTCAACTTCAAATAAGAGGCAGGTTGTCTCTCAGATAAAAGATCAAGCACCAAAAAGACCCAAAATACAAAAATGTGATGATCAAAAACATATACCAACAAAACTACCAAAACTAATTTTCAAACGTTGTGAGGAATGTGATAATTGGTATAAGAAAAATAAGCTTGGGGCACATTTACGATCAAACATCCATAAAACTGCATTACTTGATAAAAATGACGATCTTGTAAAAACTATAAAATCAGCCTTCAAAAGCAGGATTTTAACGTTAATGTTAATTCCATCAAAAAAGCTTATAGATATAGACAAATTTTTTGAAGAAGTTGAAGAGAAATTTGTGAGGTTGATTACAGAACAAATAAAAAAACACAGGGCAGTTAAAATTAATGTTGAATTATTTGGTCAATTTATTTTACAATCAAAAGAAACCATTGAAACAAAATCATTTAATACCAAAAACAAAATTATCACAGCAACAACAGATATGATTGATATTTATAAAACATTTTTATCTGAAATTAAGGAAAAATTGTCGACTTTTGCAGAATATGGATCTGGTTGGGCTTTGGAAAAAATACTTTATTTAGAGATCAACGTTAATAAGTACAATCCCATTAGAGCTTCTTCGTATATCCCATTACCAAAACAGATAGCTAATAGAAGAGCTGTAATTAACATAAAAAATAAAGATCAACACTGTTTTGGGTGGAGTGTAATAAGTGCCATGTTTCCAGTAGACCAACATAGTGATAGAATAAGTTCATACCCTAATTTTTTGGATTATCTTAATTTTGAAGGTATTGAATTTCCAGTGAAGTTGAAGGATATTAAAAAATTTGAACTTTTAAATCAAATATCCATAAACGTTTATGGTTTAGAGAGTGTTTATAAAGATTCCGAATTATGTTATGAGGTAGTTGGTCCTCTTCATTATACCGATAAGAAACTTCCAACTCATGTAAACTTATTGTTAATTAGTGAAGGTAAAAACAATCATTATTGTTGGATTAAAGATATGTCAAGGTTAGTTGCATCTCAAATAAATAAAACAAGTTATAGAAAATATTTTTGTGATGGATGTTTAATTTATTTTAATTCTAAAAAAAAATTAGATATGCATCAAGTATATGATTGTAACCATGTGTTTACAAAAATTCCAACAACTGATATAAAAGTTAATAAATATGGGCAACAGATCCCTGAAAATATTCTCCAGTTCGAAAACTTTCAGAAGCAACTTAAAGTTCCATTTGTAATATATGCCGATTTTGAGTGTTTTTTAAAACCTCTACAATATGAAGAACCAACCAATGATAAGAGTTCTTTTACATTAAACACTTTTAAGCATGAACCATATTCTTTCGCTTATTTCATTAAATGTTCATATGATGATTCTTTATCAGAAATAGATTATTATTTTGGTCTTGATGCAGCTGATGAATTTTGCAAACGAATTGAAGCTCATGTTCATAGAATTTATAATAATTATCTGAAACATGTGGTACCGATGGTTCCTTTAACAAATGAACAAGAATTTCAATTCGAAAATAGTATCATTTGCAGTATTTGTAAGGAAAAATTCAATCCTTTAGATGAAAAAGTAAGGGATCATGATCATTTAACTGGAAAATATCGAGGAATAGCACATAATATTTGTAATTTGAACTACCAGCTTCCCAGTTTTATTCCTGTGTTTTTCCACAACCTCACAGGATATGATAGCCATCTATTCATCAAACAACTTTGTTGTGAAAATGATAAAATTGATATTCTTGCACAAACTAAAGAAAAATACATTTCATTCACAAAGTCAATATTGGTTGACAAAATTGAACAAGCTGATAAAACGAAAGTTAAGCATGTTTTTATTAGGCTCAGATTTTTAGATTCTTTCCGTTTTGTCGCTAGTTCATTAGAGAGTCTTGGTAATAGCTTAGATATCAATCAATGTGTAGAAATTAGAAGATATTTTCAAGATTCCAATCAGTTCAATGAAATTAGAAAAAAAGGAATTTATCCTTATTCTTATGTAGACTCCCTAGACAAATTAAATGAAACCCAACTTCCAAGTATTGAAAACTTTTATGATAAACTTAAAGATACTCCTTTAGATCCTTCAGATTATGAACGAGCTATTCATATTTGGAATTTGTTCCATTGTCAAAACCTAAGGGATTACACTAAGATATATTTATTATCAGATGTTCTCATATTGACGGACTTTTTTGAGGCTTTTCGAAATGTATCCCTTAATATATATGAATTAGATCCTGCACAATACTTTACAGCACCTGGTTTATCTTGGGATGCAATGTTGAAATTTACAAGGGTTAAATTAGAATTATTAACAGACATTGAAATGTTACATTTTTTCAAAAACAGTATTCGGGGTGGAATATGTCATTGTAGTGTTCGAAAAGCTGAGGCTAATAATCCATTTCTTCCAAATTTTGATTCTACGGAACCCAATTCGTTTATTATGTATTTGGATGCAACTAATCTTTATGGACATAGTATGTGTCAATGTTTACCTACAAGTGATTTTTCTTGGATGACTAATGAAGAAATAGATTCTCTTGATGTTTTATCCATACCAGATGATTCTGAATATGGATATGTATTTGAAGTAGATATCAAATATCCCCTAAATTTACATAAAAAGCATAATGAATTACCTTTTTTAGCTGAAAATATATGTCCACCAGATTCATATCAAAAAAAATTAATTTGCAGTTTGAATCACAAAGAAAAATACACAATTCATTATAGAAATCTCAAACAAGCAATTGAAAATGGACTCAATGAAATTAAATTTCACAGAGGTATCAAATTTAAACAATCTGCATTTCTTAAACCTTATATAGATTTAAATACAGAAATGAGGAACAAATCTAAAAGTAAAATGCAAAAGGACTGTCATAAATTATATAACAACGCTATTTATGGCAAATCTTTAGAAAATATTGATAAACGAGTAGACATACGATTATTAACCCATTGGAAAAATATTAATAATAAACAGGGGGCTGAATCACTTATAGCTAAACCTAATTTCAAAAGTTCATTAGTGTTCAACGAAAACCTAGTAGCAATTCAGTTAGAAAGGGTAAAAGTAACATACAATAAACCTGTTTATGTTGGTTTCACAGTATTAGAACTTTCAAAAACTGTAATATATAATTTTTATTATCAGTATATTAAACAAAAATATGGAGACAATGCAATTTTATTGTACACTGATACGGATAGTTTAATTTTACATGTTAAAACAGATAATTTTTATAAAGACATTCAAGAAAATCTTGAACGATTCGACACTTCTAATTATGATGAAAATAATGTTTATAACATTACAAGAAATAAATCCGTGCTAGGTCGCATGAAAGATGAATTTGCTGGACAACCGATACTCAGCTTCCTAGGAACAGGTGCTAAGGCATATTGTGTTAACTTGAAAAATAGATCTGAGAAAAAAGCAAAAGGTATAAAAAAATATGTAGTTCAAAATTCAATTAGCCAAGAAGATTATAAAGACGTAGTTGAAAAGTCTGATATTAAATTTAGAAAAATGAATATTTTCCATTCAAGTTTGCATAACATGTACACACAATTAAAAAATAAAGTTGCTTTGTCTCCTAAAGATGATAAGCGTTATATTATTCAAGGAATTTTTAGGACTTTGGCTTGGGGTCATAGAGACATTAATATATTGAGCGATGATAATATTTGTGATGATGAAGACGTTAATGACGTAATTAAAGTGCTTCAAGGATTAGCTTGTGATTCCTATAAATTGTGATAATTATTAAAGCATATAATCATTTGAAAGTAATCATGCTACCAGCAGGACTCTTGTTTCTTTCTGCATTTTTAAATAGTACTTTGTTTATACAAGTCAATTACAATGTAAGAGAGACGTTTATATGTTTATCAGCTAACAATGTAAAAAATGATACATGGCCATCAGCATGGAAAAGAATGGATTATTTGAATAATGGTCTTTATTCTTATAAACTTGGAAAAAATATTGATAATTCTTCTAATGTTGATTACAAGTTACGGATTTATTTTGTAGATAGAAACTATGTAGAAACAAAAGAATGGCACAAATTATATGTAAAGCCATGTGAAAATAATTTAGATGTGAGTCTAATAATTTTCTCTATTATATCATTTCTATCATTTATTACTATATTATGTTTTCTTTTATATCATGTATATTTGTATTACAAATAAAAGTTTTTGAATTTTCATTTGTGTGATTTTTCCTTGACCAACTCATCCAAAATTTATGTAAAAGGTGAAAAAAGGGAAGGTATACTAATACCCACCTCTCAAAATTTTCATCATGTCTACTTTGTCTTGATATATAAATGAAAAAATGAAAAGTGTTGCTATCATTCAGTTTCAAACTTTTGTCTGAGTATCAATAATAAAATGTTCCAAGCAACCAACTACTATCAACAACCAAAAAAAATGGAAGAATTTGGTAAGAACCGAAATGGAACCCTAATTGGAGAAAAAAAGTACTACATCAACAAATCACAATCCAAGTGGGTCAGCGTTGGATTTTCCTTGGAGAGAAAATATATTCCCGTTGTTAAGCTAGGAGGATACAAAAATAAGCAAAATGTGATTTTTGATGAGGAACAATGGATATCCTTTTTGAATAACCAGAAAAATTTGTTAAGTTTTGTTTACTCTAAAAGTTCGGGATGGCAGTCTTTGTCAGGAAATGGCTACGAAATTCAGTTTGTGTTTATTGGCGAATCAAGAATAATCAAAATTACTCAAGATGGTGGAAACGAAATTTTTTTGGCTGGTGAAACTATAAATGAACTCATAAATTTGGTTAACTTGATAAAGTATCGTTTTGATCTACTTAAGAGTCAAGAATTTTTAAATTATTACAACAGAGTAATAAGCATGGTATCCAATAAAAATGGTGATTTGAACAAAAATGTATACGAGAATATTTCACCTTCAACTAACCCAAATAGTGAAAACGTTTCCTGTGTTCTGGAATTGCTAATTTTCCATTCTGATTGTATTATAGAAGATGTGGAAACATATGTATGTAACGAATTTGTTAATAAATTGGAAAATAAAAAGTATTAGTACCAACATACCTACTCTTTATTACCTCCCTCCACTAAACAAGTAATATTTAAGCTTCAGGAGCTGTTTTGATATTATATAACTAGTCAAGATGTGGTTAGCTTATGTACAAGAAACTCCAACCTACAGCTTGACAACAGCAGTTGAAAATTTGGCACAACTTTTTAGAAATTTGGAATTTGACGCGGAGCATGAAGCTAATTGTGGATTTGAAAGGTTCAAAACGATCGAAGAATGTATGGAACTTGCAAGAAAATATAGCAAAGCGGAGGAGGCTTGTAATACCTACTTACATACTTTGGATCTGACAACATTCCTTACTACCATAAAACACATGGATTTTGCTCATTTTTTAGATAAAGTGAAAAGGTTTGCTCCGAAAGAAATTATTCAGGAAGTGTTTAATAATAAGTTGAATATGTAACTTATATCATTATCAAAGAAAATAAACAAAAGTTCAAAAAAATAAGTGTTTTATTCAATCATTATAAAATTATTATATAAATAGAATACATTACTAAGTGCACATATACATTGTGATTTCAGATGGTAAAAACATTCAGGTTGTCCTTTTTGAAGAGCCGGCTTATCTTCAAATTCCAGAACAGGCTTCAATGAGTATTTTCTAATGTATTCGGACTTCTCTTTCCCTTTTACGTAAACATTGTCTACTTTTCCTGTTAGATTTTTGACAATGTCTGCAAACTTATAAATTGGAGTGTATCCCTCGTTCCAACAAATACAATGATGATTATGAATTAACCAATTTGCTTGTTTACATAAATCAGGTGGTAAATGTTGAATATCAAATGGTGGTCTAAAAATATAGTGGCATATTTTGGTACCATCATAGGCAGCTAGTTCCTTGGGTATAAATTTGTTATTTTCTATTGTAAATCCTTGCACATCCAACACTAGTTTATTCATATTTTCATATTGGAAAATGCTTTAATCATAAACTTTTTTTCTGAGTATTCTTGTATTTGTTTTTTTAATTGCTGTAACTTCTTCATGTAACGAGATAGTTGTACATCCAATTCGGTCTTCATGATACTGATAATTTGAGATAAATATCTGATTTATATAAACATAAAAGCATGCGCATTATAGCTGCTTTACTATTTTGGTTAGAGGATTATAGCTGAATATTTTATCATGAAGGATCAGACAGTATGCAGAAGTATCTTTTTTGACATTGGTGCTTGTTTCAAATTCAACTCTCATGACAACAGATCCTGTTTGAATTGACTCTTTCTGATGAGAACAGTCGATGTGTGTTATGGGAGAAATATTTTTGAAATCAGTGGGATTAAACACTGGCTCAGTTGCAATTCCATAATAGGAATGTCTGAAGTTTGCAAACATTTCATATAAGGCAGAAAAATTATTGTCTTTGAAATTTAAGTGCAAATCATGATAAGGATAACGTTCAGAATTTAAAAATACTCTTATATTAGTTAGATCAATATCATCAAACTGACTCATATCTTTTTTAACTTGCCCTTTCCGATCTATTTGAAAGGCTACTACAACATGACGAGGAGATTCGAGTTTATTTGTCGTTTTCACTGGCCAGGTATGTCTAGTTGTTTCTGATATAGACGAATATTCAACAATTTCCCAACTTCTAAATCCTAGAAAGATTTCTTTGTTAGATTCTAGTATTTTTGATAATGCCAGTTGTTGAGGTATGTCTACTGTTATGTGTGGAATTTTCCAATACAATTTATCGAAGGAGATCATTGGAGTTTCATCAGTAATTACTTTGGTCTCCAAATCATCTTTAAACAAAACAGCATCTAAATCATTACTTGCTCTAATAAGAACTAATTCTTGTTTCATATTGATTATAATTTTTTTATAATCTTCGAAAAATCCTAAAAACATTTTTAGTGGTATGGAAACACAAAACTTTCCATTATCATCCACCAAAATTCGTTCGGCCTCTTGTCTTTTTGGAAACCAACCTGCATTCTGTAGTTTTAGACTTTCATTAGTATTGTGTGAAAGATAACCTTTTAGAGTAGAAGCTAATCCGACATTTCTCACAGAGTCTATAGTGACTCCGTTTAACTCATAACGAATTTCTCTAAAGAGAAAAGCAATACCGTTATTAACAAATCTTAACCTTTTTGTATAGGTTCCTTCATTATTGACTAATTTTCCTTCAATGTAAAGTAAGCTTTCTGATGGTAAAGTAAATGTATCAAGCTCTTGAATGGGTATTCGTATTTCATCATTGTAATCAAACTTTGAAGAGATAAAGGGTTGGTAGGTGTGAAGTTCGGAACTAACAATTGAATTGTCTACGAAAAGTTTTTCGTTAACATTTAAAATGTCCATTATATTAAAACTTTAAATCCTAAAGACGTGAGAAATTGATGATTTTCCCGTGTCAACCGGTTCACGTTTTCCTTGTTAATGAATTTGTTTTCAGATTTTTTTCTTTTATAAGATTTTTTTTCAAATAAAGGTAAAGACTGGATAATGGAACTTCTATTATATCTAATAACCATTTCAAATACTATCTGTTTTTAAATGTAACCTAACAGTTATAGTTTCACCTCTAAAACTGATAAGATCTCCGTCCTGATCGACAACTTTTACGGTTATGTTGTTTATCGCTTTAACGCTGACTGGAAAATATAATATGGGTAAAGGTGATTCTACTATTTTATACCCTGGAGCTACAGCTGGATAAAATTGATGAATTATATGAACAGGTTTGCCATTGTTGAATGATCCCACACAAATATTACAATCAATGCAAATTGCATTCACCTTAGTTATATTTGCAACATAGTCTGCATTATCTAATGTATTGGGTTCAACTAATCTATTTTTGAAACCCAATAATTTCCCTATTGAATCATCCTTTGTGAAATCGATGCGTTTACTACACATTATATTACATTTAAGGGTATTAACATTTGGTAGCAAAAAAAAAACTACATTTTCGCTTCCAAAAATGCCTGTAATCTCGCGTTTTAAGTATGTTTCTATATCAGTAATATCATAAGTTCCATCCGGTATAGTTATTATTTTATCATCTATGTAAAATTTATTATGACCTGATTCAATATTAGGAATGGTCATGAAAGTTTCAAAATCTGCTAGCCCCAAGTAGTATTGTTTGTCATCATCTAAATATATTGGTGGATTAAAATCTGCAGATAATACAGAATCGTTTCCTGATATCGCAATAGTTGTAGACATTGGAACTTGTACGATAATGTTTTTTCCTAATAGAACATCAAGCTTATATATTACTTTGCAGAAAAGAGAGTGCTAGTTGTCCACAGTTGACTGAATCATATTTTTGTTTATTTTCATAGGTGTAAAATACATTTGTTTTACCATTCGAATTAAAATATCTCACCAGTTCAAGAGGTGGTTTAAGGTTGCCATAACTATCAAAAAATATGGCTACATCTTTATTTTTGATATAAGCTGTCCAATGAGTACCAGCATGGTGTTTGCTATCTAAATTAACTATACCACATTCTACCTTTCGAATTTTGTTTGGAAGATCATCACGCATAAAGACACCTCTAAAATATGGTAGTTTGATTTTTTTAATATATTTCAATAAATCAATATTGCTAAGTGCTCGTCGTGGTAATTTTATTTGAATTTTTTTTTTTGGATTTTTTTTTTTCAATGGATCCACCTTTAAATGGTTTAATGTATAATCCCTTCCCTTTAATCCGTTTATTTTTTTTAAAACCCAATCCTTTTCCTTGTGTTAGGTTTTCTATAGCTTTATTATGACGTTGAAGTTCCTCCAACTGTTGTCTGGATGCTTTAGCATCGTTTACTGCTTTGGCAATCGACGCGGCACCGCCTCCCAAGGCGCCGATGGCACCCAAAATAGGAAGTAAAAATGGTAAAAAACCACCAATTTTTTTGGGTGTTTTTATAACACGTTTTTTTTTTTTTATTTTTTTCATACCCATTCCAAGCTTGCGTTTTCCTTTCATTATACCAGCAACCATCAATGCAGCGCTTTTTTCACCGAGTGAAGAATCTGCAGCTTTTACTCTTGTCCAAGCTTTTTTCTCTAGAATTTGATCAGCCTCGTGTCTTTTTGCTAAATCGTTAGATTGAAAATATGCTATATCATGTTCCTGACATGCAACATCCAACGGATTTATACCACTATCACCCCTAGCTAATCTTTTTTCTAACTCAGTTCCTGGGCCACAATAGTTATATCCGCCTGGTATATGAAGCTCAAATGGAAGCTTATTAATTAATTTGTTAACTAAACCTGAACCTTTTTTAAGTTTCTGGTTTTTAGTAATATTGTGTATGATCATTAAAGAGATTAATCCGATACTGAATCAAAATTCAGCGTGACTTTGTTATAAATACTTCCATACTTAGGAGAAGGACGTCAGTAATATTAAAACATGAGGATTGAAAAGCAAAAATTCTCTTTACCTGTAACTAATCATGATGAAAAAGTATTAACAAAACAATTTAGAAAACATGGTGATTTATTTTGTGGAGGATCTAAAAGAGGGCTTATTGTCGGTTGTAGTGGTTCTGGTAAAACTAATGTAATGCTCTCTTTACTCGAACATCCTAATGGTATTAGATTTGAAAATGTTTACGTTTATTCAAAATCATTAAATCAACCAAAATACGAATACTTGAAAAAACTTTTGGAACCTATAAAAGAAATCGGTTATCACGAATATGATAATGATGAAAGTATCATTTCTCCACAAGATATAAAACCAAATTCAGTTATAATTTTCGATGACATTCCCTGTCAAAACCAAAGTGTTATAAGAGATTATTTTACGCAATGTAGACATCAGAATACTGATTGTTTTTTTATATTTCAAGGCTACTCTTCAATTCTCAAACGTTTAATCCGTGAAAATACAAATCTTTTAATTTTATTCAAACAAGATTCTATGAGTATGAAACATATATATAATGATCATTGCATAATGGATATGACATTTGAGCAGTTCAAGAATATGTGCAGTTTTTGTTGGGAAGACCCATATGGATTTCTTTTAATTGATAAAGATTGTGCAATAAATGCAGGTAGATATAGAAATAAATTTGACACTTTCATATATCTATAAAAGTGCAATTTTCCACTATTTGTTTTTATTAAGAACTTGTCTAAGATGGATGAACGTTTAGCTAAGGAGTTAATTAAATCTAGAAAATCAGTGAGAGAAAAATATCATAATTTGAAACTAGCAAGCACGACAACACAATCACAATTGGAACAAACCTATAAACCAATAACAGAACCACTAAAACAACTAATTTCTACTATAGGTGAACCGATAGTACTGAAAGAAGAACCCTTTAGTTTAAAAGAAGAATTTGTAACACCAAAAAAAAAATACGAAACTTCAACACCAAGCAAACAGAGAATAGTTCGAAAAACAGGAAAAACTCCCATTTTACCATCAGAGATACCATCATTTTTTGATACTAGTGTTGCTTCTGTTAGTCAATTTCCTTCTATACAGGAAACAACTGTTTTAGCTGAAACTAGTCCTTTTCCAAAAGGTAGTACTAGTGAAAGTTTAAATTTGTCCGATATATTGGAACAAACTAAGCAATCAATTAAAAATTATATAGACTCCCCATCTTACCAAGTGTATTTGTCAGATTTTCATAAATTACCTAGGTCCTATATTGATGGAAGCGTAAGGGATACAGAACATAAATTCGATCATAATTATGGAGTAGTTCATGATATTGATGGTGAAAAATTTTTTCTGGGTCTAACACAAAAACCCGTGAAAATAGTTGGTAAAAATATTGTAGTAGAGGGTAGAACTTATGAGGGTACTGTGGGTTTATACGAATTACTTTTTAAAAAGGAACCTGTTGGCTTCAAACCCAAAGATTTGGATAATTATATGGACATTTTGAAAATAACAAATGCATACCGTAGAAATAATGACCCCAATGAACAAGTTCAAGGAACCGCATCTACGAAATATATTACAATTATAGGTCCATATCTTCAAAAGAAAGGAATTACAAAATCTAAAACAATAAATCCCGTTAGACCAACTACTTTCGAAAAACCTATTGCCCCATATCGAATAAGTACTCGTAAAGTTACTAAAGGTAAAGGATTCACTTTAAAAATAAATAAAACAAACACAGACTATGTGTACTGGAATGATGTAAACGAACTTGTTGATAGACTGCGTTTTTTGGTAGCATCTGTTAATGCAGGCAATACTGCTCATCATAATGAAATTTTATCTATTATTGAGGAATTAAAAGAGGCTAATATTATATTATAAATATCAAAAACTACATAAACATTACAGTTGTTTATCATCAATCAATCATGACAGTTGATAAATTCGGTCGTCATATTTCGAAACGTAATTCAATGAATAAAACGTCACTAGAAAATGTCGATTTTTCTACCGTTGAAAATACAATTTTAAACAACTTGAAAAAAGACCTAACTTATTTTGGAAAAAAAATAAATGAAGATTTTGAGAATAGATTAAAACAGGATGTGATTAATGTTAATAAAAGGTTGAATGAAAATGATGTAAAAATCGAAAATACTGCAAAAAAAATTAAGCTTTTTGAAAATGATTTAAAAAAAGACATTATTGATTGTAGTGCATCAACAAAAAAAAATTATGAAAAGCTAACAAAATTTGAAGGTGATATTGAAACAATAACAAAATATCATAATGATGTTATTGATTTGAAAAATTATTTTGAAACCGAAATAACGAAATTAAAAACATACATGAATGAAACATCAAAAATCGATAGTGTTCAAAAAAGCATAGAAGATAATCTCAAATTAAAATTTGAAAATTTTTCAACCAAAGTTTATGATAGAGTTACGAAAGAAGTAAAGTACTTCAAAAATAATCATGATAATATTGATAAAAATATAAAGCGCTTGGACAGAACTTCAAATTTAAATGCACTACTACGAAAAAAAAATACTGACGATATCGCATTTATAAAGGAGCAATTAAACACAATTTTGACACAAATTCCAAAGCTAACATCGATACAAAGTTCAAGTGAAGAAGAAGTACGTAATCTTAAAATTAAAATAAATGACATTGAAATGAATACTAAAGAAATTACTGAGTTCAAAAATCAATTAAATAATATTTCATTGGACATTTCGAGATTGTCATCTGTACAAAATTCAAAGATGGAAGAACAACTGAAACTCACAACCGAAATTACTGAAATAAAATCGATTATCAAAGTGATTACCGACCTAGAAAATCAATTCAAGATTATTTCAATGAAAGTTATAGATTTGGGAAAAAAAATTGATGAAATAAAAAATCTAAAGGTTGATGAAGACGTAGAGTTCAAAATTGATCAAAAAGTTGAACAAATCAGAAAATATGGAACCAAGGATATTGAATTATTAAAAGAAAAATTAAATACAATTTTATCACAAGTTTCAGAATTGTCTTTTACGCAAATTTCAGGCAAAAAAGAAATAGAACAGCTTAAAATTGATATTGATGACATTAAAATCAACACTAAAGGAATTACTGATTTCAAAAATCAATTTAATAATATTTCAACAGAAATTTCCAAGTTTTCCTTAATGCAAAATTCAAACAAAGAAGAAATACTAAAACTTGAAACTCAATTGACAAAGATACAACTGGTTACTAAAGTTGTTACCGACCTAGAAAATCAATTCAAGAATATTTCGAAGGAAATTTTAAATTTAGGTAAAAGAATTGATGAAATAAAAAATCTAAAAATTGATGTAGATTCCAAAATTGATCAGAAAGTTGAAAAAATTGAAAAAGATATTCAGTTAGTAAGAGAATATGTTGAAAATGAGGACAAAAAATTGAATGTGGGTATTAATAAAATAAATGAAACTATGGGAACCAAAATTAAAGAAATAATTATTGAAAATCTCAAAGCAGAAATTGCACAAGTGAAAGATAAAATTGAAAATATAAGTACAGCTCAACTAGACAAAGTAAATAATCTTCTCAATGGACAAAACCTGGAGGAAGTATCGTTGACAAAAAGACGGTTGATATTTTCTATTCAATCTACAATTCCAACTATAATTAAGAAATTAAATGAAGAATTGAAGAAAATAGAAGAAGAAGGATTAGGTGATGTCGAGAATAGAACAATTAAATATCTAAGAATCCACATTAAAGATTGTCTTGATAATATAAATGGAGAAATTGACAAAATATTTGAATATTTAAAGGAAACAGATGAAAAAATCATGATTAATAAATTGGAAAAATGGGTGGAATCTTACAAAAGCTATTATGATAACTATTATTTAAAAAAATTTAATAAATGAGGCTACAAAAACAAATCATGATCAGTACTAACTAAATTGTCTACCATGATAAAAAAAAATGTAAAATGACTACCATTAAGGATCAAGTAGTTAATGAATTACACAAAACTGCTCGAAGAAAATATAAACGAAGAAGGGTGATTATTAAAGGGTTAAATGATCTCTTCGAGGCTGATCTGGTTGAAATGCAACCTTATGCTAAGTTCAATAAAGGATTTAAATATATTCTGATAGTTATTAATGCGTTTTCAAAGTATGTATGGGCGGAGCCGATTAAATCAAAGTCGAGCAAGGATGTGACAGCAGCAATGAAAAAAGTTCTCATCAATGCAAAAACTACCCCACGAAATTTACATACAGACAGGGGAAGAGAATTTTATGGTCATCATTTTCAAAAACTCATGCAGCAATATCAAATTAATCACTACAGCACATTTTCAAATTTAAAAGCTAGTGTTGTGGAAAGAGTAAATAGAACATTGAAAAATAAAATGTGGAAACAATTCAGCTTACAAGGAAATTACAAATGGTTAAATATTTTACCAAAAATAGTGACTGAATACAATAACACAAAGCATTCTACAACGGGACTTGAACCGTCTAAAATATCTAAGAAAAACGAAAAGGAAATATTTTCAAACACTTACAAACACATAAAAAGTATCGATATTCGAACTTCAAAATTCAAAATCGGTGACTTTGTGAGAATAAGTAAATATAGAGAACTATTTTCCAAAGGTTACACACCAAACTGGTCCAACGAAATATTTAGAATCAAAGAAATTAAATTGACCAATCCTACAACATATATTTTGGAAGATCAAAAACAAGATGAAATTCAAGGTGGATTTTATACAGAAGAACTACAAAAGGTTCAAAATCCTGACGTTTATTTGGTTGAAAAAATTTTAAAACGAAAAGGAAACAAAGTGTATGTTAAATGGCTTGGAATGGATAACTCATTTAATTCTTGGATATTAAAATCAAATGTATTATAGAAGGCTAAATCAATAAAACACTTTTTTAAATTTTTATTTCATTATTGAGTTATTGAAAAATCCATTAGTATGAACTCGTTGCTGCACCAATCTTGATTATCAAGGCTCGAGGGCACAGACAAAATTTCGATGGTCCTACCTCGAATTAATTTTTTATTTAAAGTCGATCTTTGGTCCGCGTTGTTTGTTGGTGAATGTTTCGATATAATCATAGTTAGTGGTGATTTTTTTTATAGCAGCCTGCTTGAGGATATGAATATTGAAACACAAGTGTAAGGTAAATTAAATAGTGCATTTATTTTTAAAATTAAACTTTAATCAATTAATCAATTAAAAAATTGATAATTACCTACCTACATTCTATAAGTCTAAATAATTAATAATAAAAATAATAATAACAAGTATATGAATAAGCTTAAATTAGTTCCATTAAATGTTTTTGTTCGGTTTCTTTTCTGAAATTTTCCTCAATTAAATGTTTTCTGCTATTAATTATATTTAGAAGTTGCTTACAGTATAAAACTTTTTTCGAATACATTTCCATTTTTTGGAAAATTTGCTTTTCAGTTTGATTTAGTTCATCTAGCTGAAAAGATTTTTCAGCTATGATGACAGCTTCGGCGTTCATTTCTTCATAATCTTCATTAGCAGGACTTTCTGGACTTGAAATGTCAATAATCTCGATTTGAGATTTTTCTTCTGGACACAAAAATTTCTCCAGATCCTGGTTGATCTCGATTTGAGATTTTTCTTCTGGACACAAAAATTTCTCCAGATCCTGGTTGAATTTAGGATCTGGAGTCAATATTGATTCGATGGCTTTTTCGATTTCATCTTCGTTTTTCTGTTCGGTTCTTCTTATCAAATGTTGTTTTATTATGATTTTGTTAGCACACATTTGGGCCAACTCAAATGCAGCTGGTTTGGAACACATTCTCGATTAAAAAATTAATAACTGAAAAAATTTTAAAAAAATATATCCTAGACTTAGGATTAATATTTATTTATACACTTATTATTATTATTTTTATTTATTTATTTAGACTTATTATTATTATTTAAACTTATTACTTGGACTATTGTTTAAATGCAACTATGCAACTGAATACTGGAAGATTTCTAGTCCGCTTTTATTGGAAAATTGTAACTTAAAAATGGTTATTTTTGATTTTTTTTATTCAATTTAAACAGGGTGTATACACTAAATGATAAAATTCCCCCAAAGAATTTTAAAAACGAAAATATGGTGGGAACTAATTTTTGTAATTCAGTTACAAAATGTCATCTTTTCGACATTGATTTTAGTTGTCAAAAATGGTTCATTCTAACACAAACGTCAAAAATAAACAGTGTGTTCTAATATAGTGTTAAAATGAGAAGTGGTCCAACACATTGTGTGTAAAAAACATGCTCATTTTACAACTTGTTACATAAATAACTATTTTGCTTTGCAAATCTCGAAAGCCATTTTATTAGAACAAATATATTTCTATATATTAAGTAAAAGTGTATGACACCAATAGAAAATAAAAGTTTAATTGGATAAAATTGGTTTGTAAGTCATTGAAAAATTTCACATGTTTAAAACCTCATATAATAAATCCATAAAAATTTAGTAATATTTTGATTTCTGTAGCCCATGCATTGAAAGTTTTCCACCCTGTATTCTTAAGGTAATTCCATTAAAGTGCATGCAATTTAAATCTGGTCTTGAGATATAAATTATTCTACGCGTACTCCCTACATAATTATACTGTCTGTAAAAATGCGATGATCGTTGAACCTAAATGGCCGTGAACATTTTTATGAAAACAAGATCCATTAAAATTTCTGCACTCCGTATATGTCTTCAATTTTATCTTATAATTAAACAACTTCATTGTCTGTAAAAAATACATTTTATCGAGTTCATTCATTGCACTTTAAATGACCATCATTTGGAGGTCGTCTGGTTTGATGGAGGACTTTGGAAAGAAAAATGCAATAATTTTTTAAGCGATTTGGCTTTATTTGAAATATTCATACATAATTGGATAAAATCATTTTATTACAATAATAACATTTTTCTTGTGAATCTGGTGGACCATCAAAGTGAGTTCTCCATTCTGATCTGTTGTGATGAATATGGCATGGTAACTTAATTTGAAGAATGAAGTTATTTTTGTAACTTATTGGTAATTTACCCCACGATTCCAAAAGTTCAAAGGGCTTTGCATGTTTCAATAAATAATCTAACGGAATTCTCAATAGTTCTTCGCTTGTAAAATCTGAGAGTAATTTTTCACCATTCATATGAGCTAGAACATTGTCTATAGAAGAACAACAATTCATTTTTGAGTTTTTCAGTATTGGTGATTGTTAATAACTTTACTATTTTTGCAATATAACTTTGATAGCAATTAAGCGTTAAGCGATTAACAATAACGGTCTGCTTTTAATTTTGAATCCTTTCAAGAGCTTCTACATCCCATGGAGTTTGCAACACTATTGAGGAATAAAAATTCAGGAATTGTTTAAATATTCTTTAATTTTCAAGAAAGAGTAGAGGTGGGTATTGGTTTGATAGCTGAAGCCTTTGATTTGAAATTTTGGGAATTTGACCTGTTAATCCGGGTCCCGTGGGAACTTTTTCGATAGCGTGGGAAATTTTTCGATAGCGTGGGAACTTTTTCAATAGCGTGGGAACTTTTTCGATAGCATGGGAACTTTTTTGATAGCGTGGGAAAATCGGTTCCTTTGATATGAAATTAGAATTTGACCTGGGCCAACCCCAAAATTTGTGAATCTGGTGAACCATTTACGTAGAAGAGGTCTGGGGGCACTTGAGTCAGCTTCAGGGAAGGGGGTTTACAGTGGTATGATGGCTGTGCTGGAGGGGGGTTTTACATGGTAGAGGTGGGTATGTGGTCTGATAGCTGTGAAAGCACTCTACTAGAGCTTCTGAAGATATTGGAATTTAGACAAACGATTATCAGTAATGTCGAGAAGCTTAGGGTCAGGCAAAGAGGTCAATCTCCTGCCAATTAGAAAATGGACTGGAGTGAGCACGTCAAAATCACTGGGATCCGGAGAAATTGGCACTTATGGGCGCGAATTCAAAGTAGCTTCAATTTGGGTTAATAATGTATACAATTCCTCAAATGTCAGAGAAGCATTACCCATTATGCGTTTTAGGTGGAACTTGCAAGCCTTCACACCCTCTTCCTAGATGCCGCCATAATTTGGAAACCTAGCAGGTATAAATTTCCATTGTACACCCTCGTTTTCGAATATTTCGGCCAACTCAGCGGATGGATTCTGCAAAAGTAAGCCAAGGTCTTTAAGTTCGCTGTTAGCTCCGATAAAATTTGAATCATTGTCTGACCATATGACAGAGGGCTTACCTCTTCGAGACACAAAATGCGTAAAGGTAGCGATGAATGCAGCGGAGGTCAGTTCAGAAACGATTTCCAAGTGAATGGTTCGAGTACAGAAACATACAAAGACGCAAATATAGCATTTGAATGTTTTGGCACCTCTGCCCTTTTTTGTTTTCAAATTGAAAGGGCCAGCATAATCTACGCCAGTAGTGTAAAATGGGGGTGAAGGTAAAACACGGTCTTGCGGCAAATTTCTCAGAATTTGAGAGGACGGAAAAGGTTTTACCTTGAAACAAGTAATACATCCATGAACAATTTTTTTTTGCAAGATTGCGTCCACCCATGGGCCAATAATGCTCTCTTAATGAAGCTAATAATTGCTGTGAACCACCATGAAGGAGGTTTTTATGATCAAACAAAAAAAGTAATTTTGTAAATACATGTTTGCTAGATATCACGGCACGATACTTTTTAGCAAAATCCATCTAAGAAAGCCTACCACCCACCCTCAGCACCCCCTTGGCATCAGTAAAGGGATTTAAGGTACTAAGGGGACCTTTTCTTACATATTCTTTTTTCACCAATGCAGAGTATTCTGAGGCATGAGTTTTTTTTTGTGAAATCACAAGTAAATGCTGAACGG